AAATGTATATGTTTGAAATCAATTTCGTCATTCAAATGTATTCCCTTCTTGCTGATTGCGACGTTACCACATTAATCCTCAAGTCAGACAGAAATACAATTATTGGTTTTTGTTTCTAATTAATACAGCTGTACTATGTTAAAAACTTACATTAGTTTTACATCAGAAATAAGATAATACTATGTACTATATATATGGAAAAGTTTTCTTTCGCAATTTCTACATTTTTTTCTCAGTTATGGACAAAAAAGAGCCGCACCGTCCATCTTCGCCATATAAACCTATGTTAAAATGAACAACTTTCAACAACAATATCTCAAAATCTAGATTCAAAAAATAATTCAAAAAAATATGACGCACGGAGGGAGCACTGGGTAATACGCCATATAAATTTGAAGTGCATTTGTGCATTTTAGTAAACCCGATTTACCTCCTTAAAAATAATAGTAATTTAATTAATAACTTCATAACCCTTTTGCTGATCGCGTTAAAATTTGGCACATTTATTTGAACTATTATGGCATATTATTTCTTAAGGCTATCACCCAGTATATCGATTTGACTAAAGCTTAAGAGTAATACGCCAAAATAGTTTAAATAAATGTGCCAAATTTTAACGCGATCGGTAAAAGGGTTATGAAGTTATTAATTAAATTAGTTTTATTTTTGTCAACTTTAAAAGGTCTGTAACTCAAAAACCAAAAAGCTTTTATTTAACTTTTTTCGTAGATCGTATTTATTTATTGTCGTGAATATGCAGTCAAACGTTGTCGGTGAAATTTGCGGACACCCTGTCGATACACCTACCGCTTGCCGGTATTTTAATGCACACACAAGAAAATGATGTCTAATACGCTAGATTTTCAGCTATAATTGTAAGCTATCCAATTTATTAATAGCAACATGGCATTTTTCTCCGATATAATAACATAATTAAAAACCTCATATCATTACAATATCGTTTATCTTTCCCGTTCTTATTATCCCGAGGGCCTTTTGATGACGCCGTAAGAGCCTCGAGTGACTTAAATAACGAAGGTAATCTTTCACCAATAATTATACATCAGAGACGCATACGGACTTTTTCCGCGAGTCAATTATAAGAACAATCATTTGGATCTTCGTTACCCCTTATTACGGTTTATTCAAAGTGAGCTCAAAGGAGAACGAATACAAGACAGTCCAACAAGCCAGTGGCCCAGTCACTAACCTCTTCAAGGTCTTTTTGCAACCTTTTAGTTAACTCTCGAGCGTTTAAGCCCGCATCCCAGTAGCAGCGACCACATTCGAAAACAAAACAATAAATCTGTTTTTAATGAAGTGCAATAATTTATTGTTATTTGATTAGCTTGAAGGTGTTATTGCTTTTTTTAGGGTGTAATGGTTAATGACATGTCTTTGTTTATAAACAAGCCATTATAACGCGTGTATCATAAGTTAGTGTCATATAACAGTTGCAGTTGCAGTTTTGTAGATCTGACTATTTTTTTTAATCACTAGTGAAATAATACTTATTTATACTATTTTTAAGTAACATTTTATCTACGCGAGAATGTTTAATAATAATATTCTTCTGTCAAAGCTCATAAGATTTTAAAACATCTCTACCTACTTGTTTCAATACCTAACACCAAGACATTTCAAGAAAATGTACCCTCAAAAGTTGCTTCATTCCTGAATATCGCAAATCCAGAAGCAAATACTGGCCATTGTATGAGGCTCACTTTAACAACTTTATTGGCCAATAAAGGTTATTAAAGGAAAGGATCTTAAACCAACAAACGTCAATGAGTCTAGGTATATCTAACAAACTTGATAATGCAAAGAAAATCCAAGGAAAATATAGCTGTTCCTTACAAGAAGACATCCGTAACTCGTGCAAATTCTTCACATACTTCGGCAGATGTTACGCGTTCCGAAAATGACGGCAACAATGCTACAAGGGTTGTTATTAACGGAAAGGAAGTTAAATGTGTTAAAACAAAAAACGAAATGTCTATTACTATAAATGTAAATGTTAATGTTAATATGTAAGTAAATAAATTAAATTTGATTTTTTATAGGTTTATTATTTTTTCATTATTCTACTAGACATGAAGTTACTTTATTCCACTAGTGGATCATTTTAGATAGTTCATATGTGATTTTAAGGTGATTGTGGATAAAATAATTCTAATCTAAATAAGGATAACAGCATTCAACAATTAACTATTAGTATTTATATTAAAATGAAAAGTTGCACGTGAAATTGGATTCCAAGCTTTGAGTAACGAATATACCTTATAATAGCTGTTTTACATTAACAATTTATTGATCAATTAATTGATAAAGTCGCTTCATCAAGAAATTGGACAAGTGTAATGCGCCAAATCAGCTGTCAAATAACTTCATCAATTTATTCATCAATTTCTTGACGAATTAGAGCATGTTCTAATTATCGTCAATTTCTTCGTGAAGTTCGGAGAAGTACCAACCCAACAGATTTCCAGCCTCAGGTCAGTAATGCGGTTATGTTATTGGAATATGTAAATAATTGTGTGGCGTCGAGCTAGTTTTGCATTGTTTTTACTGATTTGTTATTTTTGCAAAAACTAATATTTATATAATATGTGTCAGAACGGTACCGCTGTTGTATCACTACAATTATGAGTGGAAAGGTGACATTTTTGAACTTTATTTGCTTCTTTGATTCATTGGTAGAACTGATTTATACGTCAAAAAACTTGACAAAGTCTGTAGCAGTGTAAAACCACACTGTTTATCAATAAATTCGTGAATTAATTGATGAAGAACTTCGTCAATTTATTGATGAATAAATTGTCAATGTAAAACAGCTTGTGCAAAACCGTACTTATCTTATCAACTTCAACGTCATCTGTTACATGAGTGTTGTATAACAATGAAAAAGTAATATTAACGGTTGTTGGAAGGAAGCACAAAAAACAGGCACTTAGGTAGGAAATTCTGGAAGGAAGCCTAAATAGTTGAAGATAAGGCAGTTGAAGTGAGAACAGTGTGCAGATAGGTAGCAAGACGATCGGCGGGCAGTGTGTCAAAGTAGTGAAAAGTTAATTGTTTAAAGTGTTATTAGTTAGCAGGTAATATTCTTTAAGTACTTTGTTGTTAATTGTTCTATGTAATCTTATGATTGTGATGTTTCATGATAATAATTCTGTGTAAGTTTAGCTTCCATTGCTTTATGCTCAAGGACATATATTTTTCCAAGGTAAAATTGTTATAATTATACTTAAAGATTGCCCATTATTTATTTCATGTTAAAAATATATATATTGTCCTGATTGCCAGCCCTTACAATAACGACTTCTTTGTTTCACATCTAACTTGTTTTTGTCATGATAACGTTGTTCGAAAAACCTAGATGTTTCTTGATAATAATTCTGTGTATGTTTAGCCTTCATTGTCTTATGCTCAGGGGCGTATATTTTTCTAAGATAAAATTGTTACAATTATTATTATTGATTGCTCATTATTTGTTACATGTTAAAATATGTATATATTGTCGTGTCTGCCCGGATATTGCAAAACAACTTCTTTGTTTCACATTTAACTAGTTTTATCACGATTATGTAGTTCTCTGATTTCTTGTGCTCACTTTATGTCATACGTATGTAAGAGCTTTGTTGAATTTACTAACATTTTCACCCATGATTATTATTATTGTTATTATTGTTGTTGTTCTCTCGAAATCTCAACTTTAGCTGAGTAGCCTCCCGTATTATGGGACCTCAGTACCTTCCGACTCTGCCGGCTAACTAACACCAAATCTCTCCAGTTTTACTTGGAAATGTGTATGACTAATATGGGGTTAACAGATGACATGTAGTGACCCATTAAATGGGACAAGACTTATTTATCATTAGAAAAGGATCTTAATTTATTCCTTTGGTTAGTGGTTGTTTTTGTATTTATATTTGGGTGGTAAGAGCAACGATCGTGGGTTTCTCTACCATGCTCTTTCCCCACAGGAGCTCTAGATGAGCCTGGCACTCTCATTTTATGTTAAATGGTTGTTAATGTTTTTGTTGTTCTTTCTATTTGTCACATGTAATAAAGTTAGGTGTATTTACTCTGCTTTTGTTTTTGTATAATTAAACCATACATCCCCTCCACAAAGTTAGTAGCCAGCGCCTTCCGGTCAATTAAAAAAATAAATACACACATCATAGGGATTCCTTATGACGATCACATATTTTTGGCCACAACTACGTTTACTTGTTTGTTTTTTTATCGAACCAGGGGTTGTTATACTACAAGCTATAATAAATGTCTTTATATAGATTTCAAATTAAAAATATATTTTTTTATAAACATTTATAGCTATTTCTTTGGCTGTCTATTTTCTAAGGTAGCATCAATGCCTATGTTTTATAAATAAGCACAACGCTAATAATTTTCATATTAATTTATTGCTATTTTACCTCGTAAATGCATATCTTCTTTTAGTAAGCGCAAAGAAAAAGTAGGTTTGTTTGTGTAAAGAAATATTTCAACTTATCGCAGTTTTTGTGGGGCTTTCTCTGTAATAATCGAAAAACTTAATTAATTAAAACGACAGCAGTTTATGACCGTTCTTGCAATTATTTTGCATCTGCCATTCTTTTCATGTCTTTGACGAGGTGCTAATTCTATATCTTTACTAACTATGGAATTTATTTATTGCAATACTCTTGAATGCTCGTCAAATGCCTTAAAAAAAAAGATAAGCATATTCAATTGAACAGAATTTGTCATAGTTTGTGAAATGACTTCAATGGGAGGTCGTACTTTTTTTAATGTCACAAGTCACATCCATCCATCGCGAATTATTTTTGAGACTATAAAAGAAAGGAATAATTAGTTGTCTCATGCTTAAAAGTCTGATTCGTGCTGAGGTCAGTAGAGTTTGTTAGCGTCTACCCTACGAAGTGTGTTTTAAAATATGTGTTCCTCCGCGAAATAAAGTAAAACATGAAAGCTTACTTTGTCTTCTCTGATTTCAGCATCCTGGCTTCGCAGCGAGCGGCTGATACAATAAATCCCATGCTCAGACTATGAGCCAGCAACGAGAGATTTTACAATATAAGTGAGTAGAGTACCTAGAACCTTTTTAGTCCCACAAAGGCAATGACGTCAGCAAACATATTACTACATGCATGTAGCTTGAGTTGTAATAAAATAGCGTGTCTAAATTTACCTACACTTACGTTTGAATATTATAAAATGTCGCGGTACCAGTTTATTTAGGGAACGGGGTAATTTCCTTCATCTGCAAAGGAAATACAAATGTTATTTTCTTAAAAATACGTGTATATTTTTTAATATTTTATTCATTGTGTCAGTATCTAAGTAAAAAACACAAATTGAGACAATTTTGAATGTACCCAATAGTTATTTACACCATAAAGGAGGATTATTTACCAGTCGAGGTCGATTTTTAAAGTAGCCGACGAGTTTTTGGAATGATTAAGTCAAACCATTTTTATAGAAGAGAACGATAATCAACGATTTTCTCGTTCAGGCACCCGATAACACATATTTGCTAATGAAGGTAGTGACTTACTTCGGACAGCGTCAATTTCAAAAATTTCGATGACATTATTGTAGTTACAATTCAAGATTCTAAAAATGATATGTTACATACGTTTACAATTACTTCTCCTCTGGGTTCTGTTTCTCACCTAGAAATTCTCAAGAAATATATCAAGATTAGATTGAAAATGAAAACTGAAATTTCACCCCTTCTTATGCGCTATCAAGGTAGATGTTACAACCAACCCGTCGGCAAGAATACCCCTTTCTATGGTTCCTAATGAGATTGCACAGTTTTTGAAACTAGAACATCCTGAAACATATACAGACCATTCATTCCGAAGAACATCGGCAACGTTACTGGCTAATACGGGAGTTGATGTATTAGCAATCAAGAGACATGGTGGGTGGAAATCAGCCACAATTGCAGAAAGTTATGTTGCTGACAGTTTAAGTAACAAAAATGAAATAGGCAACAGGATTCTTTACGATGACTTCAACTCCAGGTTCTAGTAGTACGTCGCATCTTGTTGTTTTAATGGAGCGGTCATATAATATTGAGCCTCCAAATCATGTTGAGAAAAATGTGGCAATTAGTAGCGCGAGGGGAATAATTATCCAGATTTTATAAATGTTACTAAATGTAATAACTGCGTATACAATTACTATAAATATTCATTCATAATAATTAATAAAACGTAATGTTCATCAAATATTTCTATTTATTTGTTCATAAAATATGCATTTATAACTCAAAATCGCTTTTTTCCCTAGGGAGGTAAGTTACCTCAGTTACCTCCCATTGTCCATAGCAACTTCTACTTCTACGGTAAAATCCACTTGTACGGTTTTACGTACAATAAGGGTAATTTGTTACTCCAAGAATTGGGTACCTGACCAAGGGATGGGTAACCCCCGGTTTAGTAGGTAGGAGAACATTCAGTTTTATTGTAAATAGTCTGTAAGCAGATACCATTCATTAAACATATTTTCAAGCAACAACATCTCAATACATTATTTCGAACATACGACCTAACGGTCAATCATTGGTCCTTCGAGCCGGATCCGGTGCAAAAAACAACATAACAAATCGTAAAATAACTTCATCGGCAGCAGTGAGTATTGTGCAAAACGAAATACCACCCCAAGGAGCTGAGACAATCGAGAAAGCAGTCCAAGACAGTTTACCAGAGCCAACGAGAGTATTCCGTCGTCATCAGAAGGTGAGTGCCTCTACAAAATCCTATTCACTATTCCCATATCACAGTTTGTAACACGTTTTGATTTGCATTAGGATCCGTATACATTTCATACTTAACTATCACCACAAAATGTCACGCTTAAACAAAGTGAGAAACATACTCACCACCGTAAATGAAAAATTATTGCGAATAGAACATTACGTAAATAATTTTACGCCCGAAACAAGTAGCATAAGTAGTATAAAGGCGCGTCGACAAATTCTTGAGGGTATAAGAAAAGAGTACGAGGAAAGCCAATACGAATACGAAACACTTGACTCAAAAAACGAGCAAAACAAAGGAATGCATCGCGAAGCGCGCGTTGCATTTGAAGACAAATATTGCGACATAATGGCCGCTATGATTGACATAATTGAGACAGCTCAGCATAACTCACACGGAAAAGGTCTTGCTTTAACTTCAGCAGAGACGCGTAAAAATAGTTCCCTAAATCTGCCAACAATTAATATTAGCTCTTTTTCCGGAAACTATAAGAACTGGACTAATTTTCAAAATTCATTCAAATCTGTCATCGACGACAATACAAATCTCAATAACAGTCAAAAATTAAATTATCTAAAGTCCAGTGTGCACGGTGATGCTTTACGCGCGATAGAATCATTGCCAATTGAAGACGAAAATTACAATAAAGCGTGGGACATACTAGAAAGGCGGTTCAAAAACACCCGGTTAATCGTGCAGGACCACGTTATGTCAATTTTAAATGCGCAGGTTGTAGGCAAACAATCGAATACTGCTTTACGTGATCTGGTAGATGTAGTTATAACTAATATGGCCGCATTAAAAACGCTGCAAATACCGGTAGATTCATGGGATGCCATGATAGTACCCATAATCACGGAAAAATTAGATTATACCACCAAAAAAGACTGGCAGACATCCCTTGACACGAACATACCTACTTACGATCAATTTATTAAATTTTTAGAAAGACGTTGCACGGTCATAGAATCGTTAAATTACGTAACAAATAAACCAGTAAATCACCCATCACACAATACCTTCCAAAAAGCTACACAAATGCAAAAGCGCACCATTGCGTGTGCTGCTGTTAATCAAGGGTCAGTAGTCTGCTCATATTGCAAAAACTCGAATCATTTAATTTATAGATGTACCGAATTCCTTAATCNTCCTAACCGCTTATCAAATTTTACATGCCTTAGGATGACCTATTTGTCTTGTTGTTTAGAGTTATTCGAAGAAGACAGACCTCTTGCATAACTTAACGGGTCCTAGGCACATGTCTTTTGCGTAGAATTCAATAATTCATCATCTGCATACCTACTGCCGCTGTTAATTTACTGTTTCAGTAAAAACTGTTGTCTTGTTAAAAATGTGGACTGGACTTGTGTTATAGCTGTCGCTCGAATATAATCGAGTGCGCATTACGGAAATTAGCTTTAAGGTATCGGAAGTAGTACCTACAAATATTTTAACACGGTGCCTTATTAATGAAAGAAAGAAGAACACGCATTCTGTCAAAAAAGTATCCGGAATGTGTCTTTTAAAAATTCCGCGCAAATTAGATTTAAATTACTTTTTTGATGGAAAATTAGTAGCACTGTCCTCTACTCTGAAGCGAATTTGTGCTACCAACGGAATTTCTTGCTGACAGTCAAGAAAGAGGGGCGTTATCAGGCATTTGAGAGAAAGAAGACAAAATAAATTTTGACGATTAATTGAATATATTGTGTTTTATTGAAAAATTCCGGATATTTTTTTAAAAAATTGTATACAGGGTGTCCCGGTAATTGATAAAAAAAAGTCGAGTACAAATAGATGAGGTCAAAATAATATCGGTTCTTCATATAATTTTTTTTCATACGGGCCTTCGTTAACAAGTTACGGGCCCTAAAAGATGAAAATTAAAAAATTATTTTTATTTAGTCTCTAAAGGTCCGTACGAAAAAAAAATTTTCTGAAGAACTAATATTATTTTCACCTCGGCTATTTGTACTCGACTTTTTTGTATCAAGTGTCGGGACACCCTGTATAAGCAAAGTGCACCATGACTGTCGCTACAATAGTTTGAATTGAATGGTCTTTATTTAAGTAATTTTTTACCTTTAATGTTTGTAACATAATTTTCTGCAATACACTACAAATTTGGAATAAAATTAACAAACTAAAAATGCATATATAGAGGTTTTAAAAAAGTGTATTTTCAAATAATCTTAAAAATATATCTACATTAAACCAAACAATTACAGGGTCAAAAGAATTTCCGAAATTTTTCCGTGATTTTTGTATTTAAGTGAAAAATGGTCGTATCGAGAATAAAAAAAAGCATTTTGAAGCTCTAAGATTCTAGTTTTTAAATCTTTCGGTCGAAAATTTTTAAGAGCTACCGTTATCATGCAATTCTAAGAAATAGCGCGACAAAAAAATTTTGCAAATTTTTTTATTTTTTTTTCCGAGTTCACAGACTTGGAAAATATTTTTTCAGTTAAGCCATTGCATGGACCAGATGGTTGTTTATTCAGCTTTAATTTCCTTTTTTTTAAATTTCGATACGAACATTTTTCATCGAAATATCGGAATTTTAATGGAAAAGGATCCTTTTGTCTTCAATCATCGATATCTCGGCGATAAATGGTCGTACAGAAAATTGAAGAGCAGTATCTAAAACTGTAATAAATGTCCTATAACATGGTGCCGCAACTTTTCGGAATTTTTTTTTTTTTTTCGTTTTTTACACGAATTTAAAAAAACAGGAAAAAAGGGTAATTTATGTTTTTTTAGAAAATTGACGGCTAAAGTAGAAATATTCACGAAATGACTAATGTTAAACATGACTTTTACAGTTCGATATACCCAGAAGAACCCTGTGAAACTTCATTTCGATCTAACGAACCCTCTCTTGTTTCAAACAGTCAAACTTTTCAAAAAAATTAAAGGGTCACGTTCTGTCCCATGCTTCTATTCATCAGCTTTTAATTAAATTAAAATTAAAGTTGATGACCCAAACCAGATTTCGATCCCGATTCATAACGTTTTTTGAGAATTTGTAATTAATTTTTGTGCAGTCTGTAATCACTTAAGGAGGTTCGATACCAAAAGAAAAATGGTAAGAATGTAGTTTTTTTGAAAAATGATTTTAAAAATTATGCTTTTTTACACAGGCTCTTGTGGGAGTTGGGAAAAAACTTTATTCAAACGTGAATATTGCTCTTAAAAATGGTTAGGATCGGGAAAATAAAATTGTAAATAAAGAATTAAATATTACTAAACATTTTAAAACAATAAAAATATGCACTTACAATGTAATTATTGAGATAATGGAATGAATAGA